CCCACATCTGCTCCTCCTCCTGAACCCCAAGCTTGGGAAGCGGCACACCTCTCCCCTGGCTGCCCCAGCCCCAGCCTGCGCAGCACCTCCTCTGTGTTCAGCCATCAGGTTGCGCTAAACATACTTGCGAGGACAGTGCCCTGGACCACCATTATCTCTCAGCTGGACGATCAGAGTCTTGCCCCTTCTAGTCCAGGCTCTGTGTTGAGACTTCAGGGGTACCGAAGGGAGGGCTCCAGGGGAGACTCGGGGCCACATAGTGCCCCAAAGGGTAAGAATCCACGACTCAGCAGGAGCTGCGACCCAGGGCTGTGGCCACGGAGACCCCTCAGGAACTGCAGGGTCACCTCTGAGCTCTAAGAAGTCACACGAGGAAATTCAACCATCAACCCCCTCAGACAGGCCCCACGTCACCTGGCTGACCTGTGGCAGAGCGGACCTGGGATTTGATCATGAGTCTCTGGTCACCAAACCCAAAGCTTTTTCCAAGGCTGCCTGGCTAATAAAGGGGAACGTTATGGCTGGAAGCCGTGACTCAATTTGCAGGGAGGCTCTCTTTCGGAAATCAGGCCTTCTGTTAGACAGTTGTGAATTTGGAAACAGTGCTTTAAGGAATTCTGGCCAGAAGTCAGGGAGATTTCTGTATTTAAGTTTTACTTGGTCAACTGGTCACTTTTGTAGGGCAGTGAGTGAAAGATTCTCCAAGAGACACGTCTCAGTCAAACGGAAGTTGCACCCCAGTAACAGCTGCCATCTCTGCGCCGTCTGTGTGCTCAGCTGTGGGTCAGCACGGGGGTCCTGAGACGAGCCACACTGCTCCCGCACGCGTGTGTCAACCTGCTTAACCCGCCTGAGCCTCAGAGTCCTCCTCTGTCGGATAATACAAGTACCTTCCTCAGAGGGTTGCTTTGAGGGTAAATGACTTAATATAAGAAACACTGATGAGAACAGCAAGCACTGGCAAATTCTCACCGCCCAACAGGTAACGCTTGGAACCACGTTCAACAGGGAAAGTTAATAAAAGCCTAGAGGATCCCACAAATACATAAGGATGCCAGTCCTGCAGGAATGAAGACTTGGGTCGCCCCTTCAGGGGAGGAACTCTGACCAGAGGGAGCGGGACAGGAGAAACACTGTCTGCTGTGACACCCTGGCCAGTTACAAAAAACGAGGTGGGCGTATTTCCTTCCTTGCTCGATAATGTGGACGCACATGCACTTACCAGCACAGGTTCGCCCTCTCGCTCACCGACAGGCACGCTGGTGAACCTCCTGGGTTCATTTCTAGGTTGCACGCTTGTCAGGGAGATTGTGATCGCCAGAGGATCAGCCAGAGATGGAAGTAACACTCTTTTCTGCCAGAAAGCGAGAGCACTTCCTTTAGTGCCAAGGAGGGCTGCATGGTGTTGTGTGGCCCGGAGGTTGTGCTGTTATGGTAGGAAGGTCAGGTGGGATTAAAGGGTGTACGTGGATGGCCTGTCACCGGAGTGGACGTGGCACTGTTCTACCTGTGGGTCTTGCCACTCCCGTTCTAGCCTCCACGCTGGGCTGTACACTCCCTTCCCCCACCTTCCTACCAGGTGACTTTCCATCAGGTTTCAGCAGGTGGAGACAGTGGCCGGAGGTCAGAGGGTGCGGAAGCTCTGGGTTTGCCTCCCACCGCAGCAGCGGGACCCAGGTCCCCGGCAGTGTCTGGGCCGTGGTGGCAGCTCTATGGCAGCTCCTACAGCAGCAGGGCCATTGGGCCAATTATCTAATGCTGAACAAGTCTGCCCTCAACTTAGTGACTTGTAACAGTGACAGTCACTTTGTTATTCCCCCCAGGGGTCCAGAAGTTGACTAGGCTCAGCCAAGCGGCCCTGGCTTGGGGTCCCACCCTGGCTGCGGTTGGGCAGCAGCTAGAGCTGGAGTTACCACAGAGGCGTGCTCACCCGCTGGCCGGGCAGTTGGTGCTGGCTGTCAGCTGGACCGTGCGCACCTGTCCTCTCCGCGTGGCCTGGACTTCCCCACAGCATGGCGGCTGGTTATCTGAGCACGAGTGTCCCGAGAGAGCCAGGGGAACTGTGTCACCCTGTAGGATCTCATCCAGTAAGTTGGAGTGTCTCGTCCACTGCATTTTATCTGTTAGAAACAAGCCCCAAAGGCCAGCCCCTGTTCAAGGAGGGAGAATTAAGAGCCTGCCTCCTGTGCATGGGAAGAGGCCCCCAAATTTGCCAACATATTTTGAAGCCACCATGGCATCGTCTCCAGCTTCACAGCTGGCAGGTCACCTTGGAGAGTCCAGCCCAGGACTTCCTGGTCTCGTGAGTCATCCTTCCTCCTCCTCCAGACACCCCTTCTCTCTTCTGTTTGCCAATCCCTTTGGCATGCTGTAACTAATTCCCTTCATTAAGTCCCCTCTTCAGTATGCCCAGGATGGATTCTCTTTCCCTGACTACGTGGGCCAGCCCGTGCTAGCAGGACTCACCATCTGAACTGAACAGCAGAGTGACCTGCAGAACGATGAACTGTTATTAGGTGCCAAGACCCTGCGAGGGGCCAAGACCCGGTGAGGGGCCATGCACGTTACTTAATTCTAATACCAGCCCTGCCAGTATTAGAACCTACGTCTTGGCATAGAAACTGAAGCTCAGAAAGGTTAAAGAGCTTGCCCCAAAACACAGCTGGAAGGAGGTCTGACTCTCAAATATCTTTATTTTCTGGGTCTTCTGGAATCTGAGAAGAGCTACTTCCTGCCAAAGAATTCCTTTTTCCTAGAGGAAGCCTCACCTCTCATCCTTACCTACCTGTGTGATGGATCCCAACTGAGGTACCTACACTTGAGAATGAACCGAGGAAAGGAAGGTAAGAATATGACACAGGGGGAGTGGAACACAAAGGCTCAGATGTTCCTCAACTGTGAGAGCTACAGGGTGTGCAGGAAAAGGCCCCAGGCACCATGATGCGCACCTGGGCAGCCACCTTCTCTCCAGGAGCCTGAGGTATCCCCACTGGAAAATGGCCCTGACATTTTGTGCTCTACTGAGCATCCACCTTGCAAAGCAGCCAGGGGCGGAGACAGCTCTATCAGATACAGGGAGCAGATGCTAAAGTCAGGTCAAGTCAGTTTCTAGGTCTTGAATAGGCTTGTTATGGGCTGAGTGTCTGTCCTCCAACGTGATGGTGTTCAGAGGTGGGCCCTTCGGAAGGAAATATGATCACGAGGGTGGGGCCCTATGGACTGGGGTTAGTGCCCTCATAGGAAGAGACAGGAGCACTTGCTCTGGTCCCACACTCCCGGCCATGAGAGGAGACATGGAGAAGACGGCCCTCTGCAACCAGGAAGGGGGCTCTCACAGAAATCGGCCATACTGGCTCCTGGATCTCAGACTTCCAGGCTCCCCAACTGTGAAAAATCCATTTCTGCTGTTTGTAAGCCAAACTATCCTGCTGTAGTAGCCCAAACCGACTAAGGCTGATGAGAAACACTTCTTTTACCCCATAAGCAGTGGGGAATCATTTCAGCTTCTTGACGAAGAATTTGACACAAAGAAATCAAAAGGCTTATAGAAGAAAATAACAAAAACAGTAACACAAAATAATGACAGAAGTGCCATTTACTGAACGCTACCAGGCAGCGTCCTAGTACAAAGGACACAGCTCGTAGGAGCGTCACAACAGCCCGGAGGTTTGTATTGTTACCTATTTTATGGATGGTAAAACCGTTCAGAGAGGCTGAACAGCTGGCCCACAGTCACACAGCTAGTCAGCAGTGGAGTGGAGACTCAGCCCAGCTGGGTCACATCCTAAGCCTGTGCTCTTCTGGGTTGGAATGAGCTGAACCCCAAGGTAGAAAAAAGAAGTAGAAAACTTGTATTCAGATGTCCAAAAGAACCCAAAGGTGTGCCCATGAGCACTAAGCGGTAGAAAGTGTGAGGCCAGGAGACAATGTGAGGAAAGAAAGACAAAGCCTGAGGTTGGACTAAAGAGATGACGTGACCGGTGAGGGGGCTGACAGCTGCCTCCCACCAGCACCCCCATCCTTTCCCATCCAGGCGTCCGCTCCTCCCGCGCCCGCGAGCTCGGGGTGGGGGACCCTCTGCTGGGCGAGAGGCGCAGGCCCAGGCTCGTCGGCCTCGGTGCACCTCTGCTGCTACTGGTGCTGGGGTGGGCTGCTACCCAGCTGGGGCCCAGGAAACCAGGTGGAGGCTTGCTGGGGCTGCCGGAGTTTCCCTGCTTTCTAAGACGGCTTCTGAGAGGAACCCGCTCTGTCTCCCCAGCTGCGGACAGGGGAGCACAAGGACCCTGAGGCTGTTGTCAGCAGTCTCAGAATTAAGAGGGGAGCCGGCCTTGGTACGATGCCAACACGGCAAAGCGCAGCGAGAGGAGGGAAGGTGGTCCTGGATGACTCTGTTAACCTGCTGAATCAAACCGACCCTGAAGCCCACCAACCTCGGGCTCTCCAGTTCCTCCGTGGTGTCCTGTTGTGAGAGGGAAGCGCTGCATAGTCTGTCCTGGGTGTGGAGAACAAGGGGAAACGTGAAACACCCAGATCTAGGAAGACACCAGTGGACACTGGTGAGCTCTCACTGGAACAAACCGAGTGTGCGGGATGAAGACAGACAGACCCCGGGCCGCCGCCCACAGCACACGCACCACCTCTCGGGCCTCCAGCCCTCATGTACTGAACAGACCGCAGCTGAAGCTCCTAGGAAAGCAGGGCCCAGACGGGCTGTGTGCCGAGGGCTCTTCCCATGCCGAGTCCTCAACCGTGCTGGGTCCCCCTGGATAAACGCCTGACACGCACACTTCCAAAGTCCCGTATTATGCAAACCAAGGTGTCTTCAAATTCAAGCAGCAGGTCAAAGTAACAGACACTGTTGTGTCAAAAAGGATCACTTTATTCATCTACATACAACATAGATAAACGCAAGCAAAATCAGGATGTTTTCCTCAGCCATCCTTTCCACATTTTACGCAGTTTTAGTGAACTATAAATCACTGATTTCTTCAGGCCTAAAAGAGAAAAGAAGAGAGAGTGAGAACGCCGAGGCTCACTGAGCGGACACTCAGCAGGGGCTCCAGGACACTTGTTACACAGGCTCATCTTCAGAGTGGAGCAGCGATGGGCTGGCCAAGGGGTCCAGGAGACCCGGGGCCACTGTGGTCAACGCGAGGGGAAGAGACTGAGGTCGGCATCTGCGGAGGCAGTGACACAGACGCCAGAGGCACCCAAGCTTCTGGGGTCAGGGACGCTTGTGATTACGAGCAACCTCTGAATTTAGCAGCTCCTTTAAAAAGGAGAAAGGCAGACACAGACACAGACAAGACTCTGTGTGTAAGTGGGCAACCTCGGCCCCCTTTCCACCCACCAGTGTCTCCCAACCACCCCCAGCGCACTGCCGCTGGTCTCCGCGAGGGGCGTCTCCGTCCCTCTGCGCCTGGGAGGCTCCGAAGCCCCTCTGGGCTGACTCAGACACCGACCGCCCGTCCCACGGCCGGCGCGCGCCTCCAGCCCGGCCCTCACCACACTGCGGTGCTCGCCTGCCCCGCTGCCCAGACCAGGCGCCATGTGAGGACGGGGACCTTGTCCGACTCATCACTGGGTCCCCATTACCCGGTGCTGAACCCAGCACAGAGGTGCTCAGTAAGCACTTGTAATGATGGAGCAGAAGCACCTCACTCAGACTTGGAACCTTCTAGCACCCCGCCTACATAACCACAGGCACCCGATGAAACCGGAGAAGAGGCTCTCTGGGGCTCACGGGAAAGAAGTCACACGAGACAGAATAAACGAGATGTTACCGCCTGTCAGATCCCCTGGGATCTGACGTGCAGGCGGTACCGTGGGCTCAACCCCCTCCACGCTGAGGACGAGATCGCGGCCGCACTGCGGGCGTCAGAGGCGGTGCGCTCAGGGGGCACTGCTGACAGTCCCCGGGCTGGTTCCGGACACTCCCCGCCCTGGAGTCTGTGCTCTCTTGAGAACACCTGCCACACTACCTGTAGGCGGCCTGGTGCACTGAGGACCTTTCACAAGGCTACTACAGGCACTGGCAGGTAAAAAGGCAGGGTACCAGTAAAACCATTAGCAGATGCTTCTAGAAACGCTGGCATGGCTGGTCCACGGACTGACTACTGCAAACCAACAGCCTAGCCAAGAGCCTCGGAGCTGCTTTCTCCGCCTCCACTCCTTTTAATTTTCTCCCCGGAGCAACCACTCTGGTAAGCCTCACCCATCTGAGCATTGAGACCGAACACTCATTACGTAAGGTGCTTTTAAAAATTCCAGCCAGAACCAATCAAGTCACTAAGGTGGTTGCACACAGAGAGGTTAACAGAGCAACCCTGGGGCGCCGAGTCACAGCGAGAGGAAGATGCATGGACCGTGGTAAGTCCGGGATCAGCTTGGAAAACCTCACTTACAGGCTGCGAGGACCTAGCGTTGAAGGTGAGCACACGGAAGCCCAGGAGGGTCCCCATGGAGCCACATGTTTTGCCGCCACCGGACAGAAACTTCTCTTCATTAAAAAGTCTCTCCTTTCGACGGCTCTGCCAGAGACACATTCTCAGAAAGATCACAGCAGGGAACTGCATTAAGAAGAGCACTGGAATGGGAGTCAGGAGACGTGGATGTAGCCCCAGCTGGGCCACAGGGTGACCCCTTCTCTGGGCAGAGTGCAGGGCTGGACGGGATGAGGGGTTCTCCGACGTCAGCATGTGAGCTCCCTGGAACCATGGGCAGTCTGCTGTGTGCACACATCTGTGCAGAAGCCCCGAGTTTTAGTCAGGCTCACAGGGGAGCCAGGATTTGCAAAAGGTTAAGAACTAACAGATTAGAAGGAAAAACCCTTTCTGCCTTAATATTTTAATTGCAACAAAGGTGGAGGATGAAACTTCATGAACTTGAAGGAGGCAAAATTTCCTAACCAGGACACAAAACGCTGCTAACCTTAAAGGACAAAATTGATAAACTGGACTAAGTAAGATTAAGCCCTTCTTTTCACCAAAAGACACCATTAAGAGAGTCAAAAGACAAGCCCCAGAGTGAGTGAGCTTTGCACTACACACATACCCAGTGAAGGACCTGCGTCCAGGCCACATGGAGAATTCAGTGTAAGGAAAAGGCAGACAGTTCAACAGAAAAATGAACAAAACACTAGAAGAGGCACTTCACAAAAGAGTATATCCAAGTAAACACATGAACAAACACCCAAACTTCACTGGTCGTCAGGAAAACATAAGTTACAACTCCAGTATGACACCACGACTCACCTACCAGAGTGCCTGAAGTGAGGATGACACAGTACCAAGCATCGGCCACGGAGGTGCAGGAACTCCGCCCACGGGAGTGATTTGGACAACTGTTCGGTAGCATCTCCTGCAGCTGGACATTCGCGTCCTTTATGATCCAGTAATTCCCTACGCAGACACCTAACCTGATGCATACGTACGCTCACCAAGAGTCAGGCACAAAACACGCACAGCAGGACTCTGAGAAGCAGCTCCAAGCTGGAAGCAACCCAGGGAATCACCAACAGTAGAACGGATAAATCGTGCAATAGTCATGCAATGGACTAGTTGCAACGAGAATCAGTGTACTTCTCCCAACACCGCGATGAATCTCAGCGATGGTACGAGGAGCGAAAGACACAAGGAGGTTCGTATTTATGTTAAGTTCAAAAATGGGCAAAACAGAAGCAGGGCATTTGCAGTTACTGTTGGAGGGGTGGTGACGGATGGGACACAGTGGGGCTCTGGGGACTGGCCCTGTTATAGCTCTTCAACTGGGCACTGGGCTCATGAGTGTGTTCCCTTTGTGAAAATTCACCACATTTGTGCACTTCTCTGTATATATGGAGATTTCTCCTAAGGCCAGAAGATTCCGGATCTTCCATGTATTCAGTCACTGAAATACTGTGAACAAGAATTCACTGGGCACCTGCACCTACAAGACCTGAGCTAGCTGCTGGGGACACTGGTACGAGCAGCAGTTCTGGCCTCTGCCCTCACAGAGATTCCAATCCACAGAGGTCTACTGGGCCGACACCAAGTTTACGTTTGGGTTTTGCTTCCTTTCTAAAGAAAAGGATGGTGATTTAGGAAGCCTGCATTTAGAATGCGTCTTGAGAAGACAACCTGCTAGGAGAGAAACTTTACTCTAAGAGCCATCCTGGTCACCTGTGCTCCTGCCCAGTGGGTAGAGATGCCAAGTCTCCTAGTTACGTCCCTTTAGGCAGATCCTTACTGCCTTGAAGCTCATCGTCGTGAACTCTGAGTGGCAGCCAAAGTCAGGATTTTGTTCTGGAAGCACATGGGAATCCACTTCACTATGTGGCTCCTAAGGTTTTTCTTCTGTTGATTTCCAGCTTGTTTCATGGGACCTACGCAAAATGACTACACACGTAAGACTACGAATTCCCTATGTGACCTTAAACTGATGAGTCCAAGGACAGACAAAATTCTCCAGGAAACAACATGAGACAGGGATGCGACCAGGTTGTGAGAGGTTGCCACCTTCCTGTACTTTTATAAATGAGGAAATCAGTAACCTTCCTCCAATTAATTTCCAGCCACAGGAGCTGTATCTACAAAGAAAATCTCCTCTGAGACAGAAGTACAATTTATTTTTAAAGCTTTCAGGTTTAAATGATAAATATATCACCAGAAAAATCTTAACTGCTATCATGTGGTTTTCTTATTTAAACGTGTAGGTACCAAAAAATGGGGGCAAAAAAGGTTTCGGTTATAAAAAAAAAAAATGAAAAAGCAGGGGACAATCAGTGATGCCTTTTGTGATGCTCAGGGAAGGGCTGTGAGGGTCAAACTGAGGCCCGCTGGAATCTGTTTAGGATTAAGACTCAAGCTGTCTTGCTAATTCAGTTGAATCTTTCGTAGCTAGAGAGGTAAACAAGTATTTGACCCCACAGTTCATTCTGATTAACCAGAAAGTCAAGTGGGGAAAATAGAGCAAAATTTCAAAAATTAAACTCATCCTCCTCCCCGACGCTCCCTCACCTCCAGGAAGGGCACCGCTGTCTCCTGCCTCCGGAGCCAGAGACCTGGGAGCTATCTCTGCCCCTCCTTCCCTGCCACATCCCTCCGACCACCAAGATCCAGTGACCTGCCTTCTGAATACTGCTTGCACCTCTTCTCTGATTACAGCAAGAGGACTTCTAAAAGCAGAGCGCAGGAGGAGAGAGGGTCTGTGCTTGCCACGAGGGGCCCATGGCTGCTCGCCTCCTCCAGATGCAGACAGGTGAAGGGACCAGCACGTTCCAGAGAGAGGTCCGGAGATGCTCGGGTGAGGAAACCAAAGAGGAAAGACCAGACACGGTGCTGGATACTTTCATGTATCTTTTCACGACCTGGTAAGGTCGGTAGAACTATCCCTATGAAATTCAAACCCGGAAAAATCAGGTAACTCACCCACGTCACAGTATCTGAGCTGGAACTGGAACCCTCGTCCCGGACTCACAGACCCCTGCCCTCAACCCCGTGCACCAGAGAAGGCACAGCACAGGTAGGAAACCCAGAGGATTTAGGAATGCTTGTCACTTTCCGCAGTTCCTGAGACCTTGGTGGTCACTCTGGACTTCCACAATCCAACGAGGCATCTTTAGAAGGGAAAGGAAAGCAGGCAGCAAGCACGCCAGGGAACTAGCACTGGGTGCTCCGGCCCCGGGGGAGCCTGGGCTGTGGCTCTATGAGGCGATCTCCACCGCCCTCTGCTGGCGATGGGAAAGAACAAGTGGAAAGAGGATCAGAGATTGACTTCAGGTTGACGTATCAAGAGATAAGGAGGGATTTTTCCCGAAAACTTTTATTTGAGGAAAACTCAGATTTATAAAAGAACAGCACAGTGTGTTCCCACACACATTCACCCAGCTTCAACAATGTGCCAACTCAGGGCCAATCTTGCGTCACCCTCCTCACCCACGTCCCTCTACCATATTTTCTTTTGAAGAAGTCTCAGACACCTGTCATTCCATCTGTAAATATCTTAGTACGTATTTCTAAAAGAAAATGATTTTTAACCTTGTAACACCAGCATTATCACAACTAAAAAAGAAAATCAGTAAACCTTGCAGTTCCTTATAGCACAGGAAGCCAAAAGTAAAAGGTGCCCAAGCACCTGGCCTCACCCCAGGAGGGTTATGGCAAAGCAGCTGCGATCATGCAGAGCACAGATTAACAGCCTGAGCCACCCAGCAAACAGAAGCACCTCATATTCGGCCTTGCCAGGACAAATCAGCAGGAAGATAGATTAAATAAATACCTTAATTGGAAACGCAAAGCCATGCACCCCTGCATGCCAGGAAAATCTTCAGCTGAGTATTTCTGGCATATGTGCTACTAAACCCTTGTTGACTCCCTGGCTGAATCTCCCCGAAGACTCAGGAGGGCCACCCTTGGCAGTGCCCAGGCAGCGGGGGGTGAGCTGTCAGGAGGTATGATTGTGTGCAGCTCCCCGGCAGCCTCAGCCCAGGGATCAGAATCAGGCTGAGAGATCACTCTCTTCCTCTGGTCACCTCTGTGCCATTTATCCCCTGTACTGTCAACTTCTGTTTATGCCCGTCTTCCCTCCTAGGTTATGGAGTCCTTGATGGCAGGATGGGCTTGTGTTCACTTGGTACCCTGTGTGGCGTGCAGCTGAGGGATGCTCAGTAGATGGCTGCAGAAAGAAAGACGGAGCTAGAAAGTCCATCGTTTGACAATACCTAGTGTTGGAAAGAACGAGAAAAATGGGAACTTGCGTTTACTCCTAGTGGGATGATAAACTGATATAACCACTATGGAGGGCAATTTGGCAATAGCCAAAGATGTGTTTAAATGCTTAAAACAAGAACAGGATGTTTTAAATAAATTTAGAAAAAAAGGAATATTCAGAGAACAAAAAAAAAGAAAAGAAAAGAGAAGAAAATGAGCTCCTAGAAATTAATATAGCAGAAATAAAAAACTCAATAGAGGAGTTGGAAACTAAAGTTGAGAAAATCTCCCAGAAAGCAAAGCAAAAGGACAAAGAGATCAAAAAAAAAGGAGACAAAAGAAAGAAAACCCAAAGGACTCGTCTAGGAGGTCCAATGTTCGAATAAAAGGAGTTCCAGAAAGGGAAGAGAGAAAACAGATGGAAAGAAATCAACCAATTTTTTTATATTCTGGGCTTCCAAACTGAAGGGCAATGAGTATCCAGTATAACAGATAAAAAGAGACGTACACCGAAACACATCACTGAGAAATTTCAGAGCCCTGGGGAAAAAGAACACCTAAAAGGCTTCCAGAAAGCACACACACAGAGGAGTGGGAATCAGAATGGCTTTGGACTTGACAGCAGTCCTAGAAGTGGGAAGATAACTGGAGCAACGATAGTGAAATTCAGTGACTCCTCATCTGCCTCCAGCCCAAGTCTTAGCCGTGGGAGAGGGCAGACGAAAGGCACGTTTGGCCACTCGTGGTCTTCACGTCCGCCTCCCACACACCTTCCCCAGGAAGTTACTGGGTGGTGCTTCACCAAAATGAGAGTGCGCCATGAAATCAAAGATGGGAGATACAGGACACGGGGGCCCTCACCCGAGACAGGTGGCGACGACTCCATGGGAAGGAAAAGCAGACCACGTGGCTCAACTATGAACCCGAGTCAGACAGCCAGACGGTGGAAGCGGAGGACTGACTGTACCAAGGTTACGAGCCACCCACATGCAGAAGGAAGGGGGTGTGCGTGTGGAGTGGAGGGGGGAGCAGCTGAACTCTGATCTACGAGACTGAGAAGTCAATAGATGATGCCTAAATCTAAAAAGGAGAGAAGCAGCAGTATAAGCTTATTATGCAGAGAACTAGCAGTGGAAACAGAAGTAGCCTGAGAGTCGGCAGTGGCTGTCCCTGGAGAGGAACCACGGGCGGGGATGGGGGCAGCTACCGCTGTTTCTGCAGCACTATCACGTGTCACCTCACAGATACAAAGACACCAGGGGAAACCTGCACAGGAGGGGCAATTCAGGCACACAGAGGGGCAGGAAAGCCTTCCAGCAGTACCTCAGCCGCCCAGAATACAGCGCTGTCTGCCTGGCTGAATGCACCACTGTGTCCTAGGTTATGACCATCCAAATTCAGTGTTTCACAAATAACTGCGAGATACAGATAAGCTTTACGTCTTAACCGGAAGCACTGAGGCCGCTCAATCCAGCAGGTATGTTAAATGTGGATTTTTAAAAATTCTTACCAGCAGTGAAAATGCCTTTGGTGCTCTGCCTCATGCTGGAAGGTCTCACGATTGCCGAGAGCCCTGTGAGGGAAACCAACCGGGATGCCAGAAAAGCCAGATGTTAGTCATCTTGACACTTTTAAAACTTGAAACTAAACATTCTTTCCAGTTATCCAGTAAAACCAGCACATTATCTCTGTCCTGATGTCAAAGTGACAGAGAAAAGGCATCGGTCTGAGCAGGGAACTGGGGGTCCCAGCCACGTCACCGACCAGCTGTGGGAACACAAGCAAATGATTGACCCCTCCGGGCCTGGGCCTCCTCATCTTACAGTGGTGTGGGTGAGGTGACCCTCAAAGATCAAATTTTTTTCACTTTAAATCAGCTTAAGTTTGCTGGTTCTCGATTCCAAGATGTGAGAAGACTGAGGAAAAACCCTCCAGGAAACCGAATGTTTCTGCCTAGGAGATAAAGTTACCCTTTATCACGCGGAGAGGACCTCAGTGAGTCCTTCTCGCCCTCAGAAAGGCAGGGGCACTCACACCAAGACGACAGTCATGTTCAGGTGGGAAACAACTGACCACATGCCTCCCAGGTATCTTCAGAAGAGGGGCTGGTACCCTCAACACCCAGCCCGCAGCTGGGGGGCCTGAGTCTGCGGGTCCCCTGCTGCGGCTCTGCCACTGTGACCTGCCCCGGGAGGCTCCGCAAACGTCCTCTCGACCAGAGAGGGTGCACTCATCATCCCCCGATGGTTTCCTTACTGACTGACCTCATAAACCTCTACAGGCGGTGGGCCTCCTCTGAAGACAAGGTTCAGATTTTGGGTACATATCAGGGAGGACCCTGGCAAACACTGGGGACAACGTGCGGAACACAGGCATGTCAGGGCAGACCTACTGGACACACACGTTGAGGGGGAGTTGGCCGAGGAGAGCAGTGTTCTTGATGCTATAAAAGCATTAAAAATGTCACCATTCTCCTTCCTCCTCAGACCACCATGAAGAACACATCTTTGAAATAACTTCTGGAAGTTATGCTCCCGGGACCAAAAGAACCATTGTTTCCCTCTCTGACAGTGACTTAGGACTCAGGGGTCTGAAAACAGAAGCGCTTTCAACACCCCACTTCAAACAAACAAGAAGTTAGGTTTGGAAAACCCCCAGACTGTTAGGGCTTTCTTCTTCCTAGAGGCAATCCAACTCTCCATCTCACTAGGCAAGAAAGAATAAAGAAATCAGTCACAAACAGAGTTTGCTTTTACCCGCGGCCAGTACTTCCTTAACTTCAAATTCATAAATTCACAACGTACCTAGCCGCACCACCTCTCCACAGTCGGGGTCGTGAGCGACTTGCAACAGCGTTTCTTCCACGTCTCTGTTTTTCCCAGGAGGGTCCATGATGTGATTTATTCGCTGCTGTAGGGTTTTGGGCAATGTCATCAGCTGAGTGAATTGTCCTTCTGGGCTTTTATCTATCTAAGGAAAAAAAGAAGATGGATGTCTATGGAAAGTACTTTGAATTCTATAAATTCAAAGACCCATGGCTTCTCCTTAAAATCACACAAATATGCATGAACTTACACCCTGGACCAGGCAGCCTGCTAAGGACTTTCTCCTTTCTGAATTCTTTCAGGATTCCAAGTTCCTTCGAATAAGCCAATTCTTTTTCTATACTATTCTATTTCTACATAGGAAAAGAATAGAAGTTTCTTTCAAGGATCTATTTTTGACTCTCCGTTTTTAAATTTCTATTTGTCTGAAGTCCAGCTGTTGAAGGAAGCGGAGCGTCAGCTAAAATTCACTGACAGCCCCGCGAATCCAGCACTCATTTTAAACACAGGCACAGAGGACCGCAGCCAGGACCACACAGCCAATCAGACAGTGGGATCTAAATTTGGGCCTCCTGTCTTTAGGGCCTGTTATGGACCGCGCTGTGTTTCGTAAACTGTAGGAGTAAACTGATAACAGGGACTAATCTTTATTTACTTTTAATACCCGGGCACATAGTAGGTACTCAAAACCCACTGGTTGGATAAGGAGATGAATACACACATCAGTAAAACGGAGTTGCCATTATTTCTTAAAAAGCAGTAAGTGATACCAGAGGCTTCTATTTCCAGTGTAATCTAAAATGCAACAAATGTGAAGACAAACACAGAAATAAAGCAGGCAGAAAACTATGCATCAGACTTGATCTGGAAGCCTCTGAGTGAAGTTGGCCACTGGGCTGAGTCCACACCCACCTTCCCCAACTCCTAGTCTAATATCCTTTACTTTCATGAAATCAGATTCTCCCAAAATCATGTAAACAGAGCTAGCTGCCAAGATGAAAGCCACTAACGCTGCCCTCGCAGAGCATCTGGTAAGAACCTGTCTTGTATTCTTTCAATGAATGTCTAGTTTCAGCTTCAGTTAAGAGAACAGTAAGAAAAAAATCAGACGAATGTATTAACTTTTAGACTCAGGTTTCCCAGATATGACCAACCTTCTTAGCATTTACAATTCACTCATTCTACCACTTGTTTCTTCATTCGACAAATATTTATTGAGTACATACCAATGTTTGGATTTTCTAGTTTTATCTAAAAAATCTATGCAAAGAAGAAGAAAATGCTATTATTCAGTGGCTCTAATAAGGTGAAGGTTTTCTCTAACCTAAGCATTTCATATTTATCATTAAGATGGTTCGGATCCATAGGATTCAATCTCTACTTAGCTTTTGCTAGATAAATGACAAAAATGTGGATATTTCTGTCAAATATGCTAGAAATGACATTTACAGGCTCATATTTTGGGACCAAGAATTGAGGTTAGTCAAACGGATCTTATATTTCTGTAAAGCTTTACCTATGGAACTTCCAGAAATTTTAGAGATGCCAAAATGGCTTGAGTTACATGAGGAACTAGAAGATAGTATTTGCCACTGCTCTCTCTTGAAGAAAAGAATGCACTGGAGTTTCTGCTTGAAAGCATGTGTTTAGAGACAGAATATTAGGTGGCATGTTCCAATAAATTGCAAAATTCTCATTATCCTTACTCTTTAATTCTCTTTAAAACAAGAAAGTGAAAGCATTCAGTTAAACTATGAGTCAAATTGCAGTTTAAAAGCAGATACGGAAAAGACCGCATGTCGTATGATTCCATTTACAGGAAGTGTCCAGAGCAGGCAAACCCATGGAGGCAGAAAGGAGATTAGTGATGGCCTTGGGGGCGGGGGACGCAGCTACAGGCTGCTAACGGGAATGGGGTTTCTTTTTGAAGTGATGAAAATGTTCTAAATTAGATTGTGGTGATGGTTGCACAACTGCGTGAATATACTAAAAACCGCTGAATTTTATGGTATGTAAATTATATCTCAATAAGGCTGATGTTTTAAAAAAGCAGATACAGTCATACGTTAGTGGATGCTGCATTGCACCAACCAGGACCAAGGGGTACTCATTCTCCCGGCTGCTGGGAAAGGTGGCTGAACCCCTCTCAGAGTCTCTCAGAATCGTCCTCCCTCAGGGGAGTTGCTTGGATCCAATGACTGGAAAATGCAGGGGTAGAAAGGCCCGGCCTCTTTGCCCTGAGTTGGGGCAGCTGGAAAGGGCCACCTAGCTCCACGCTGCCACCACGGAAGCAGATGAAGTCCTTGTTTCAAATCTGCCCAGTCCTGATCCTCTACAACTGGTTCCAGGAGTGGTCCGAGAAAGCACCATCTAAGACGGCACTTGGGAGCCGTCACAGTGTAGAAGGCCAAGGGGGAGCCCCTGAAGCTGCCATTCTCACCCCCAGGCCAAAAGAGTAACGAAAAAACAAAACCCCATCCCGGGAGGAGTGGCAGAGATTAATGCCACCTGTAGACCTGAAGGATGCCACCTGAAGGAAGGGGGGGGTACAGACTTGAATGGGCTACAGGGCCCAGATGCTCGGTCAAACTTTAGTCGAGATGTTACTGTAGGCCTGGGTGAGTCTAAGTGAGTAGATTCTGAGTAGAGACTGGAAGACTGAAGACACAGGATGGGGGGAAGAAGGCGTGCGGACGAACCCACGAAGCGGGCACAAAGTATGAAGATCACTGTGTTGCATGTTAATGTCCCTCAGGGAGCATCCATCGCAGAGGATGCAACAACCAAAAGAACAACTCAGCCAGCTGACTCAGCAGCATCTGTCACCCCAGTGCTGGCATGGTGGCTTGTGGGAGGTTTAGTGGGGGGCGGGGAGGGGGCTCTGCCGAGGCCAGTATCGTGGGCTTCTACTCACCGATGCCGACTCAGCCACTGCTGCTGCTGGAAAGTCCACCCTGCCAGCAACAGGGGCCAACACTGGGATCCTGATAACGGGTGCATCTCCCGAGACCAGCCCGCCTGTGGTGGCAAGCCGACTACGCTGGACCCCTTCCACTGGGGATGGGCAGTAATTCATCCTGAGTGGAAGTGGCTCATATTTTTGGGCGGGCTTGCCTTTCCGGTCCTCAGGACCTAGCCTGTGCCATTGCACAGCTCCGAGAACGTCTGATTCACGACATGCTTGTACCATGAGGTGCAGAGGTGAGCAAGAGGCACAGGGCAAGGGCTCCACTGTCCACACCACACACTGCGCCGGAACTGCCAGCCAGCAAGAGCAGCGGTTCTAGGTGGGGACATTTTTGGCCCCCACACCAAAGAATTATCCAGCCTAAACTGTGAACAGTGTCACTGCTGAAAACCCAGTGGAACAGCAATAATGAACAGTGGAGGCACCAGCTTGGAGGTGACCCCCTGGGGCAGTGGGTGCAGTCCATGCCGTCAGTGCGTGACCGGCAGGTGCACCGTAGTGTGTTCCCAACTGGCAGAAGACATGGGTCTGGGACCCAGGGCTGGAAGCAGCAGCCTTGTCACACCATTCCCAGGGACCCACCTGGGAAACCTGTGCTTCCCGACTCCACAACCATAGGACCGTGGGTCTAGGGGTCCCAGTTCCCAGAGAAGGACTGCTTCTCCCAGAGGACACAGGAAGCATCCCACTAAACAGAAAGCTGGAAGTGCCACCCGGTCACTTTAGAATCCCATGATAGAAGCCAGCAGACACACTGGCTGGAATAAGGGCGTCAGGATACACATCTCTTCGTGCCTCTTGCCCGACTGTGGCGGAGAGCGGGAAGTACCGTAGCCGCAGCCTGCGGCGGGCGTGGTGACCAGGCCTCAGGCTCCTCAGGGCTGAGGTCTGGGCTGCCTCCTCTAGACCAACAAAGCGCTAGAAGGGGTGAGGGGAGCTCGGAATGGACAGGAGAGGAGGGAGAGGACGGGGGTCAGTTGCAGCCTTAAGACCAGCTGTAGCTCTGGGAACTGAAGCTCAGCCCACTAATCTCATCCTTACGTCTCCCCAGGATGAGAAACCAGTCAGAACCCAGATCCTGCAGCCTTTCAGAGGCTACACTGCAGGGTCTGGAAGGTAAAAGGGAATTCCCAGCCCTCTTCCCTTGCTCAGCTTCTCAAAGTTGGCAGCTGGGCAGGTGATCCCTCCCCATCCTCTGACCAGAGAGTAGACGATGTCTCTCTGGAGAAATCCTACAGATACCGAAATGTGGGGTCCTTCCACAAAACAGCCAGGTCCTTGTCCCATTCCTACAGTGAAGCCCACCAGGTGACAAGCTCTTTCTGTCACAAAGAACTTCCAGTCTGCATTTTTTAAAGTGCCTCGTTCTTTAAAAACAGGCTACAAAGGACATCCAAACATTTGAGGAAGGCTTCTAACACAACAGAGGAGAATGAATCAATAGAAAATAGGAACTAAGAAACAGAGACAATGTAGAGAGCAAGAAAAAACTTCAAAAATTATAATAAAGATCATTAAAGAGATGAAGAAAGATAATGCATTCATAGAATAAGAATAGGACGCTATAACAAAGAACAGTCAGAGGAAATAAAAAATTCAATGGAAGTGTTAGAAGATCAATTCAAAAAATTCTTCTGGAAAGCAGAACAAAAAAAACCAAAAACAGGAAAGAGAAAAAAACAATCAAACCAGGAGGTCCAACAATCATCTAACAGGAATTCCAGAAAGAACTAAGAAAACAGGTATGAAGAAAATATTACAGTAACGATAAAATTAAATTTCCTTGAATTAAAGCTCGTGAATTTCCAAAACAGGTTCACAAAGTGCCAGAATAATACATAAAAACATACCCAAAGACAAAGGCAAAGCACCAGGAAATTTAAGGACATCAGAAAAAAGGAAAAGATCCTAAATGCTGCCAGAGAGATACAAGGCTCACACTCAAGGGACAGGGAATGTGAACGTTGTTGGACTTTTTAATGCAACACCACAAACTAGAAGAAATCAAGCTACGACTTAAAAGGTCTGAGGAGACATTATTTCCAACCTAGAATTTGGTATTTAGCCCAAACTATCAATCTGGGTGAGGGCAGAATTTTCAGATGTACATGGTCTCAAAAAAATTTATCTCCCTCAATCTGTTAGGAAGTACTGAAGGGTATACGTTGTCAAAATTGAAGTGTAAACCATGGAAGAAGAAAAGAGCCAGAAAACCAAAATCTAGCGAAGGAGAGAGGAAGAAATCCTCAGGTGATAATGTAAGAAAGTTCCCGAAGAAGAGTTGTGCAGCGAGCCTGGAAAGCAACCAGTCCGGGAAGGAACGGGACACAGGGCTGTGGGAAGAATGTCCCCAAGAAAAGCAAAAAACAGAGAAAACACCTGATGCGTGTGGCTACAACGGGAGAAGTCTTACGGATTTGTAAGACAGGCTGAGGATCAATCAGTTACAGGTAAACAGACACTAAGCAAGTGGAAAAAATGATACGATTAATACCAAGAAAAACAAAGGTGTACAGAAAAGGAAATTTCACAGTAGTGTATCTCACAACAAAGAAAAAGAAGGTTGTCATAATAAAGTAAATACTGCATGTGAACCTAACCAAAAATTACGAAATTAACTATATGCGGAGCATGAGGGGGCGAGGGGGGGGGGAGAGAGTGTGCGTGTGTGTCTGTGTCGTCTGTGTGGGTCTGTGTGGGTCTGTGGATGCTGATGGGAGTGCAAAAGAGTAAAAACGTCCTCTTCTTCCATAGAAAGATAACAAAAGTAAAGTACAAAATTGAAAAAAGTCCAGAAATAACAGTCGGATCATATTATTTAGAAATACAGAGGTAGACAGCCATCAGGAGAACCAGCGACCGAGATGAAAGCAGGTGCCTCCGGGTCACTGCACTAACGGAGGAAGAGGGAACCGCTGTTCTGTTACAACCTTGGGGAACCGTTTGGCTTTTAAAGAATGAGCGTGCATTGCAATGAGGAAAGTAAAAATTAAAAACAAAAACCCTCATGGCAAACTCCATTAATCCGAGTGGTGGGTATTCTAGGCATTTACGTTATTCTCCAATCTTACGCTTAAAATAATTCCTAAGTTCCCTTTCAGTTCTAGAAATTCCATTAATTTTTTAGTCAACATAATATTAACTGCCCCTATTATGTGGGAGAAGAAGGGCACTAAAAAAGTAACATAGCGCTCTTTATCTTAGATAAAAAACACTGCGGTTCTGTAGTTTAAAAAAAAATCTTAAATCCAAATTACTTTTCTCAAAGGAAAGGTTCTTTGAGTTTTCTTTTAAATGAAGCTACTGGGGATTGAACCCAGGACCTCGCGCATGAAAAGTATGTGCTCTACCACTGAGCTATAGCCACCCCTCAAAGGTTCTTTGATTTTTATTTTCAAAAAACTTAATTTTTTTTTGAAAATGCCTTGAAAGAAAGCTGTTTGATATATCAGAAGAAAAGTTCTAAGACATGCTACGTACAACAAGTGGGGAAAAAGCTACAGAATAACACATATGAATACATTTATGTGAAATGAAACCAAAAAAAAAAAGACAAAACCACTTCATGCATGTGTATATGTACAAATATATACAAAAGTGCACGTAACAGGATCTGGAGGAATACACACCAAACTGTCAATAAGGTTACCCCTCAGGCTTGGGGATGGGAGACGGTAATGTGAGAGTTTATTTTCACTTGTTTTTGATTGACAATTAATACACACAGTAAAACTTTCAAATGGCAGAAAAGATACACACCGTGAAGACAAGCCCCGCTGAACCCCACGTCAGGACCCCTCCTCCGAAGGCAGCCTCTTACCACTAGTCACTTGTGTTGCCTTCTAGCCTTATTCCAAATGCAGAGAAGAACGTGTTTACACACAAAACTCACTTTTTAAAAGATATACTGCTCACCCCTACGTTTCCCCTTAAAACAGCTGGTGCCTTAGAAGTAATCCACGTGGTTTCCCCTGGACAGCTTACCTCCAGGCTGCCTTGCTGGATTTTATACACCACTTGGGGGTTCTCCTGCAGAATGCTGCCATACAGCTCACGGAAGTGGGCTATGTTGGGCTTCACAATATTCAACACTTTTGCCTTATCCTCTCCCACCACCATCCGAAAGTCACCTGGTCAAAACAGAAAAACAAATTTCCCACTGCGAATCCACATTCTGACCTGTGAACAGATACCGCACTGTTTCAACTGGCAGGATCTCTTACTCAAAATACCTGCTTTTCCTCCTCAAAACCATGAACACAGTACCCCAGGAATTTAGGTACTCTGGAGGGAAAAAGAACCTCTCAAATCACAAAGCCCTTCAGCCAGTTAAATCGCAGTTACAGTGACCTAAGGACAAAAGGTAGTCACCACTGAGAAGCTAATATGTGTTTGTTTCCCCATCGCAGGAGCTTCTGTATTTATTAAGTTTCATCTTGTGAACAAAACTCTGCCTGGACCAATCCCAGAGACAGGAGAGGTGTGCACCGCCTTAGACGCGTGCCTTGTACAGGTACGCGGCTTGGCTCTGCTTGCTGCATTTGCACGAGGGCTTCTGAGGTGCTTTATGAGTATAAATGACCTCATTATATTTGACATGGGCAAGAGCAGTGAATGGTAGAAGTTCTGGTAAGAAGAGGTTTACATTTAGGATAAACTTGTAAACAGATACAATTTTAAAAATTGCAAGTGGTGAACTTGCTGCTCTTCCAGAAAATCACACGGCAGTGGGGACTCCTCCTGGGGACACAGATGCTGATGGCAGCCGTCTGGGGACTCATCCTACCACGAAGATGCTGATGCTGGCAAGTGCCATCCTGGAATCCTCCCTCAAGCCTATTAGTGCCAGGCCTGCTCACTCGCGGGCCAGAACCAGCCCAGCCCCAGGCCCTGCAGCCAGCCACACCGGGACCAGCCCCGGCCACCAGCAGGCCAGCAGCTGCCGCACAGGGCAGGGCCTGGCAGCTACCTGGGCCAGGGGCCAGCCCTGCCTATGAGACTGCCCACAGTAGTCAGCCCACCACAACAGAAGGGCCATGTAGCCCATATAGGGGGCACCCCTAGAGCATGTAGCTCTGGTGACCAGAAGGGAGAGTGCTGCTGGGCCCCAGAGGACATCTCCTACAGAAGGCCACTCCTCCAAGATCAGGAAACAGCCAGTATCACCCTGATATTGAACCAAATAAGCACCTAGCATCACCCTGATACCAAAAACAGAGAAAGACACTACAAGAAAAGAAAGGAAAAATACAGGCCAATATCACTGATGAACACAGATGCAAAAATCCTCAGTAAAATATCTGCAAATTGAATTTAACAATATATTAAAAGGATCACACCCTGTGGTCAAGTAGGATCTACCCTAGGGATGGTTCAATACCTGTAAATCAATCAATGTGCTATACCAGACTAACAAACTGAAGAATAAAAATCATACGGTCATCTCAATAGATAGAGAAAAAGCTTTTGACAAAATAAAACATCTGTTTATGATAAAAACTCTCAACAAAGTAGGGATAGAGAGAATATACCTCAACATAATAAAGACCATATATGACAAACACATAGCCAACGTCATACTCGATGGTGAAAAGCTAAAAGCATTTCCTCTAAGATCAGGAACAAGACAAGGATGCCCAAATTTGCCACTTTAATTCAACATGGCATTGCAAGTTCTAGTCACAGCAATCAGACAAGAAACAGAGATAAAAGGAACTCAAATTGGAAAAGAAGTAGAACTGTCACTGTTTGCAGGTGACGTGAATACTACACATACAAAATCCTGAAGATGCCACCAAAAAAACCTACCAGAATAAATGAATTAAGTTGTAGGATACAAAATTAATATACAGAAATCTGTTGCATTTCTATTCACTAAGAGTGAAATATCAGAAGGAGAAATTAAGAAAACAATCCCATTTGCACTTACATCAAAAAGAATAAAATACCTAGGAATAAATCTAACCAAGGAGGTAAAGGACTTACACTCAGAAAACTATCAGACATTGATGAAAGAAGTAGAAGACCACACAAACAAATGGAAAGATGTACCATGTCCATGGACTGGAAGAATTAATATTGTTAAAATGACCATACTACCCGGGGCAACATATAGATTCAGTGCAACCCCTATCAAAATAGCAACGGCATTTTCCACAGAACTAGAATGAATAATTAATTCTAAATGGTGATCATTTTGTAATGTATAAAAATACAAAATCACGATGATGTACATCTGAAACTAATATTATAAGTCCATTATATTTCAAGTTTTTTTTTTTAAAAAAGGAGCATCAAAAGGCTGCCTCTATAAGATGCCAAAGCATCTGGAAAAAAGTATAAAATTTCGTTAATAAAAAAAAAAAGACCAGGCTCAGTTTAAAGTTAAAATTTTTTTTAAAAATTGGGGGAGGATACAGCTCAGTGGTAGAGCTCATGCTTAGCACGCACAAGGTCCTGGGTTCAATCTCCAGTACCTCCATTAAAAAAAAAAAAGAACTTGAAGTTTAAAAAAATTTCAAGTGATGAGAAATGAAGAACTTTACATTTGCCTGTGGAATAAACTGAGCTGCAAAATAATTCCAAAGGACAAAGAGTAACTTTGGAAACAAACTTCAAAGTGCCCAGTCCCACCTGCACCATCAGTGGTCATCAGCAAGATATGAGGGAAAAAGAGGGGTGAAATGGGAAAACCTGAGGGAAAGCCTATTGGGCTAATATTAATTCAGAAGAGGCTGGAAACATGTGGGGACCTCCCAGGGGAAGCCTGGAGAAAGCAGTGGCTGAAACCTGTGTGGGGCAGATAGAAAGCCTTCGGGGAGAGCAGGGAGACAGGAGGAGGCAGATGCCCCTGCTGCCGAGGAATCCGCCGGGACGAGGGTGACAATGTAACTTATCACGGGGAGCAGGTCACCTCTTGGGGTGGAGGGGGCGCTACGAGCCATCACATCAGGGCAAGCGGAAACTGGGCAAAGCGGGACATGTGGTTACCCTTGCTGATTCTCATCTCTGGAGCAGGGACAGGATCATCAAACTATGACCTGCACAACAGATTTTCCTAGAGCAAACTGTTGGCTTGTTTTGGAAAAATAAAAAGATACCCAGTGGTATGTACTTCAGTAAGGAATAAAATACACCAGGCTTTTAAGCTTCAAAGGACCAACTTACGCATTCGGTGGAAAGCATCCGGGGACTACGAGCTTTGGAAAAAGACTTACAAACAGCCTCTGGAACCTGACTTTTGTGGGACGAGGTCAGGACAGGTTAGGGCAGGAGCTGACGTGAGTCCTGTCGTAACAAGCTGCTCAAATATGGGTGACAACGTGTCTTCACTATTATTTTAGCGGGAAGAGAGTTACATAAACCCTGCAATGACTGCTCGTGAGGACGTAGGGAAATTGGTTCTATCACACAATTTTGATTCCATAAACTGCAAAACTCCTTCTGGAAGCTGGGAATGAAGAAACCCCATCTCTGGAGAGCAGACCAACGATCCCACACAGAGGTGAAGGTAAAGTTTGCCGAGCATCTGGTAAGTGCCAGGCCCTGCTCCAGGCGCTTTGTCAGACCACCTCGCTGAGGCCACACAGCTGGCCTCTCTGGTAGGTACCACCCTATCCCCATTTCACACAAAGTCAACAAAGACACAGAGATGATGTAACTGCCTGAGGTGTCCCAGGAAGCAAATGAATACACCACACATACAACTGTTCACTGAAGCGCCATCTGTAACACTGAAGCGCTGTCTGTAACACTGAAGCCCCGGCAGCCACCCAAACATGCAACAACAGGGGGATGGGTAAACCATGACGGTGCACCCACGCCCTGCCTCGGGGCAGTGTGCAACCACTAAGTTACAGGAGCCACACACAGCAAGATGGACAAGGACCACGGAATAATGCGCAGTTAAGAAACCAGGATGCAAAAGTACAAGAAGGAAGCAACTTTGTTAAACAAAACAAAACAAAACAAAACAAAACAGGGAAAACAAGACAAAAGGTCTATTTAACACGTTGATGGCCAAGCCACCCAAATCTGGGTGACAGCTGTGCTTCCTCAGGGGCACAGTGGGAGAGCAACGTATTAAAGACAGCTATTTTTGCTCTAATAAGATACATATCTACTGTGGGCTTTTTAATGGTGTGTTTCACACCTGCTATCGCCTTTAGTGCTGGCAATGCCCCATCAGAGAAGGTGCTGACTATTCTCGGTTTCACTGACGAGGAGATGGCGGTGCAGAGAGCTTGCCCAAAGCCCAGCCACCTCTCAGGAGCAGGGCAGTGACATCTTAGGGACTAGTTTTACTTCACTTTGTCACTCTCCCCCATTTCCCTCACTTTGGCAATGCTGGCAAATTATTTCTAGCATTTTAAAATAAAATCACAGATGCACAGATATGCTGTCTTGGCAAATGTGAGTGGAGAGGCGGGGGTTAGCTTTCGATTATGTAAAGCCTTACCCTTTTATTCAGAGCCTGTAAGCGTTTTTACCATAAATCTCTGAAGGGATGACGCGCCGTCAAACCCTGAATCTAACATGGCTGGCTCTGAAGTGAAAGATTGGTTTGTGTCACCGTTACAGAGTTCTAAATATTTGTATCATTTCTTCTCTTTCTGTACATTCAACAAACAAAAAGGTCTTATATTTTGGAAAGTAACTTTCCAAGAAAGGGACTGTATTTTACCAAAGTGTAAAAGCAACAAATCCAAACTCTCCTCCGAAGAACAACTGCGTGCTGTGATGAAAGGGCCTGGAGAGCAGGGGCCTTCTGAGCACAAGGACTGGGGCTCACCCGTCCCTGCATCCCCAGGTCCTTGTGCACTGCCGGGAACACGGAAGGCACATCTGTAAATGCCTGCTGAACTGAATTTCTGCAACTGCTGTGCAGCAGAACCAGCTCAGCCATGGGGAGCGGCAAGCAAATGGGCTTATTACCCGCTGCTTCAAAACAAAATGAATAAAATCGTGGGCACAGCATGAACCAGCATCTGATCATAAGAATCAGTTTTTCTTCCTTCAGAGATATGCTTGCAACAAAACACAGGGATTGAGAAAAACTGACTGCTGACTTTTACTGTCCGCCTCTGCTGGTGGGTTTAACTCTTAACTGCTCAAGCCAGAGAACTGCCAG